CAGGTGGGTGACCTCTGAGCAGAGAGCTAAGAACAGTCTCTAAGTACTACCAGGTGTGGCAAAAATAAGCCAAACCAAAAAAACTTGATACTCTCTGAGGCAGGAGAGTGCAATAGCGGAGGGTGGGATTAGCATTAGAAACACCTGGTTCACGTTCCCAGCTCCACATCTTGCATAGTACAGCTGGATTTTCAATCAGAACAAATAATTTTAATTTCTGCAAGTTTCAGTTTTCTCAGTTGCACAATGGAATAATATTAGTGATCGTCAAAATAGCACTTTACATGGGGAAAAATATTCAAGTATACTTCAAAATCAGTACTGGCCCTCATTTCTGTGTAAATTAAAACACCAGTTTCTCTTATTCTTGGGTTTTTTTTTTTTCAGAGTTAGAGAGTTGGAAAAGTTTATTGGAAAGTAGAATAGACAGGAAAAGGAGCTCCTCATGTAGGGAGAAACTTAATATAGGACCAAGTTTAGTTTCTCCTTATTCTTTTTTTTTTTTCTTTTTGGGTCACGCCCAGCAATGCACAGGAGTTACTCCTGGCAGTGCTCAGGGGACCATATGAGATGCTGGGAATCGAACCCAGGTCGCCGAGTGCAAGGCAATACCCTCTGTGCTATTTCTCCAGCCCCTCTCCTTATTCTTATTCCATCCTTAGTATTGCATGTCCTTCTCTTTATAACATATCTATATGAATAAAATATGATTTCATTCTAATGACAAAACACTAAGAACTGAGAAAAAATTCTGAAATAACACAATTTGAGCTCTGGTGAGGTCAGATTTTCATGGGAATTCCATTTATGACAAATTCTAGAACAAAGTCTTTCAAAACAGGAAAACACTCTTCCATCTCATTCTGTAAAGTTCCATTCATAAATAACAGTCACAGCACTATATGATGTCAGCCAAAGAACTGGAGCCTGGCAGGGAGAGGAGAAAGACTACCTCAGTCAGCCTCTCTGTCATTGTTTCTTGGCAAAACCATTTCATGATGGTAAAATTAAGAGTTCAAACTGATTTAGAAAAAGTTACCATGCTTCATTACTTTGTAAGTATTCTTTCAGAAATTCAAATTCTGACTTGACATGTGTAGTAAATCAAATGTGACCAAAACATAACCCCTCGTGAGTTTTAGAAGTATAAACTCATTTAATTATCTGATAAATCTCTCCCAGCAAGCAATTTTTATTTTATTTTATTGAATCACTGTGAGATAGTTACAAGCTTTCATGTTTGGGTTCACTGTCACTGTCACTGTCCTCCCGTTGTTCATCGATTTGCTCGAGTGAGTCCAGTAGCGTCTTCATTGTGACACTTGTTACTGTGTTTGGCATATCGAATACATAATGGGCAACTAGACAGGCTTTGCCATGCGGGCAAGATACTCTCGGTAGCTTGGCGGGCTCTCCAAGAGGGGCGAAGGAACCGAACTCTGGTCGGTCCAGCCAGCCGTGTGCAAGGCAAATGCCCTACCCGCTGTGCTATCGCTAGAGCCAATCACACAATGATCAAACACCCATCCCTCCACCAGTGACATCCCCCCTACCAATTTCCCCAGTATACACCCCCTTCGCCCACCTCTCCCTGCTTCCATGGCAGACAATATTCCCCATACTCTCTACTTTTGGGCATTATGGTTTGCAAGCAATTTTTAAAATAAATATAAACCACACACACACAAAAAAGTACTATCATTTTATTCAGTTCAAGAAGTTTGAAGGGGAGAATTATAAATTTTTAGTAGTGAGAAAGATATTTTAGCGATAAATAGCACTGCACTGTCGCACTGTCCTCCCGCTGTTCATCGCTTTGCTCGAGCAGGCACCAGTAATGTCTCCATTGTGAGACTTGTTACTGTTCTTGGCATATCGAATATGTCACAGATAGCTTGCCAGGCTTTACCGTGTAGGCAGGATACTCTCAGTAGCTTGCCGGGCTATCCAAGAGAGGTGGAGGAACCCGGGTCAGCAGCATGCAAGGCAAACACCCTACCCGCTGTGCTATCGCTCCAGCCCAGCCATAAATATAAAACATAATAATGTCTTAATCTGAAGCAATAAAGCAAATTTGATAAAATAATGAGTTTGTAAGCACATGTTTTACTATACTACCATCATTAAATTATTTAATTTTTAATAAGGTTGTCTTTAACAATTTTCTCACAGAAGTTCTGAAAATCTAACAATTTCCACATAAGAACCTCTGTGTTTCTTGAGTCTTAATTTAAGGGTCTTATGGTGGTTTGTGGGTTTTATTTTATTTTGGTTTGGGGGCCACATCTGTCCATGCTCAAAGCTTACTGCTGGCTCTGTGCTCAGGAATCACTTCAGACAATGCTCAGGGGATGATATGTGAGGCGAGGAATTAAACCCAGGCTATCCACTTGCAAAGCATGCACCGTATGCTGCACTATCTCTCCACCCAGCTGAAATTCTTGATTTAACTGACTAAACTATCTAGACTTCAAAGAGGTTAAACAAGACCAAAGTGGTAGTAGCACAGGATATAGGGCACTTACACAGCCAACCCTGATTCAATTACGGTCACTGCACAAGGTTCCCCCTAGCAATACCACAATCATTCCTGAGAACTGAGCTAGGAAAAGTCCCTGGACAATTTCCACTCAAAAACGAAGTAAAAGGGCCAGTACATCGGGTAGGGTGTTTGCCTCGCACGCAACCAACCTGGGTTTGATCTCGGGAATCCTGTATGGTCCCCGGAGCACTGCCAGGAGTAATTTCTAAGTGCAGAAACAAGAGTGAGCCCTGAGCATTGCCAGCTGTGGCCCAAAAACAAACCAAAAAAAAAAAAAAAGAGGTAAATGCTGGACCAGGCAGTATGGCAGTTAAGACGCTTGCAGTATAACATTACAGGATCCTCCTCCTACCCCCATGCAAAAAAAAAAAAAAAAACCCTAAGTAAATAAGAGGTAAATATGCTCAAGAGATTTGATTTAGTTCTGAAATACAATTATATTTGCGGTAAGTAAGTCCATCGAAAGTGGAAACAAAAAATTGGCTGTGTTAAAAAATGGTATTGTGTTTTGGTGTGTGTGGGGGTGCAGTGAGGGGAGGAAGCAGTGGTGAATCATTCCCAACAGTGCTGCTGGAGCCACTTCCAACACTGCTCTTGGGGCTTACTCCGGGAACCACATAACACAGTGCAAAGCATGTGCTCAGCCCATTCAACTATCTCCTCTACCCTTCAAATCAATATTTTAGGAACAAGTTATAATTTGGAAAGATGCTACAGTTGTCAGGATGTATTACAGGATCCAAGTATAACAATGAACGGTACCTGGCACATAACACACACCTAGAGTATTTCTACTTCTACTCCACATACACCCACTTATTCTAGAGTTGTGATGGTGCAGAAATTCAACTTTGCTCACAGAGTTTGCTCTTGCGCCCCCCCCATCCCCCGCGCCCCCTTAAAACAATCATGAAAGTGCCTCGCTAAACCACCAGCATCAACCCACTGTGAAAAGACTGCACCGTCATCTTCAAGGAACCAAGTCACAAGTGAGTAACTCACAGCCTTGCGCTCACATTCAGGGAGCAGGGGTGAGCGAGGGCCCCAGAGCCCCACACTCGCTGCCTGAGGTCTGGATGCTGAACCCGGATCCCTTATGCTACTTTTTTTTGCTTTTTTTGCTTTTTGGGGGTCACACCCGGTGATCCTCTACACTGATGAATCACTCCTGGCTGTGCTCGGGGCGCCATATGGGATACTGGGAATCGAACCTGGGTTGGATGCGTGCAAGGCAAATGCCCTGCCCGCTGTGCTATCACTCCAGCCCCATCCCTATCCCTTATGCTACTTCTTCCTAAGCACGAGAAAGGTGGGGTTCGGGGTGACCTTCACTGCCTGCCGCACTGCGCCCCCCTGCACCCTTCCCCCACCCCAGCTCTCCACACCCACCTATTTCCCTTCCAGAAGAGGATTGCTAGGGGCCGGAGCAACAGTGCAGCGCTTGCCTTGCAGCTGGCCGACCTGCGTTCAATTCCCAGCACCCTACCTGGTTCCGGGAGCCTGCCAGGAGTGATTCCTGGGTGCAGGGCCACAGAACGGCCCCTGAGCATCACCGGGTGTGGACCCCAAAGCGGAGGTGGGGGGGGGGGGGGGACGTTGACTACAGAGGTCGCTTTCGGCATCTTCGACAGCTTGTCCCTAAGAACAGCCTCTGATCTAAAGGGAAACCCACTTCCACCCTAAAAAGGTGGGCGGCGGACTGTGACAGCTATCAGGCCCCCGGGCCGTGCGGGGTGGCGGCCCAATCCCACGGCGTTCTGGGCTTTCCCATGTTTCCTGCCCTCGGAACCGAAGGCCGATGACGCTGCACGGCGCCGGCTAACACGTCCTTCAAGTTCCCAGACTCGCTCGGGAGGCAGGAAAAAAACACCCGGTCTCAAAACAAACGTGTTCCGGGCACCCAATCATCACTCGGCCGGGGCTGGGGACCGCGAGCGGGAGGGGGCCGCGCCCCTTTCCACCCGCGGCGACACGCCCCTCCCCGCCCCGGGGCTCCGGCACCGAACCGGCACCGGACGCCCAGAGCGCCTGCTCGGGCCGCCAACACCCGGGCCTGGAAGTTGGGCGGACGGCGACGGCTCCACCCTCGGCCCCCGTCAGCACCGACCGCCGGCGACCCGCGACAGTGGGACGGGGGGCGGGGGGCCCAGGAGGCGCCCCGACAGCGCCGCCCCACGACCTTGGGGGACCCTCTCCAACCAAGAACTCTCCGGTCCAGGGGCCCGGAACCGCCGGAGCTGTAAAGCAGCGCCCGAAGCCGAAGCGCCGGGAGGGCCAAGACGGATCTCCCAAGGCGCCCCCGACCACGAGAGCGACACCCCCCGGGTAGAGGCGGCGACCGCGCCGCCCCCCGCCGGGCCGGGGCGCCGCCACCCACAGGCCGAGCGGGCGGCGTCGCCTCCCGCCCCGCTCGCCCACCCCAGCCCGCGCCCGGAGCGAGCGGCCCGCGCCCCGCTACCTTGGTGGTGCGGATGTGCTCCATCCCGAAGACGTCAGCAGCCAGCCGGCCCTCTTCACCGGCGGTCCGTGGAGCGCGGGGTCCCGGGCGGCGACAGCGACCCAGAGCCAGTGCCAACTCCCTCCACCGGCCGGCGCGGCAGTCCGTCAGGCCAAGCCCCACCAGCGTCCACCGCGCAGGCGCAGCCGGGCCAGCACCGTCTCCTAGAAACACTTCCGCAAACCAGGCGGCCACCGAGGGGCCGCGGGGGCTGGCGGGGCAGAGCGTCGACCGGCAGAGGGAGAGACGCGTCTAAGTTCTCCGGAGCAGCCACCAGTTCCACAGCGCCCCCAGCTGGCAGAGGGATCAGAGGCTCGGCTAGCGCTGAGAAAAGGGGATGTGAGACTAGAAGAGATCAGATCACATCTGCCCTGCAGGTTTAGTACATTTCTCCTTCTGGTTTTTTTTTTTTGGGGGGGGGGAGCGGGAGGGCTAGGGAGATAGCGGAGTGTGTGTCACCGCCGGGCGTGATCAGGACTTACTCCTGGCTCTGTGCCGAGGGATCACTTCTGGCGGAGCTTGGGTACCATATCTGGTGCTGGGATAGAACCTGCAGGCAAGAACCTATAGAACGTATAAGGCAAGAGCGCTACGCAGTGTACTACGTTTCTGGCCTTGACAACCTCCTAAACGGATTCTGAGAACCTCATGCTGTGAAAGGAATTTGACGGGAGGTGTACAGGATCTCGCTCAAGTCCGATACCCTGCCTCTACTCAGGTCTATTACAGGAATCACCATATATAGTTAGTATAGTCTTATTGGCAACAATCAACATCTCAAATACGATCATTTATGTAAAATGGGGTGTGTCTATGCAGTATTTGCACCAGTATCCATGCGGAAGAATGCTGGTAGAGATTAACAACACAGTAAATGCTGAACAAACTGAAAAATCAACCTTTCTTAGATCTGAAAGAGAACTGAAATCACAGGGCAGACCACTGATGAGAGGAGATGGAGGGGTACAGTGAGATGGAGGGGGTCAGAGCAAGAGAGAGGCACAGAAGATGAATAAAAGCTTGCAAAAAGTCACAACTTATGGAACACAAACTTAGAAGCAACAACCTTCGAAGAACCCAATGGAAGAGCTCATTTGGCGCAGTATATCATGTCTTATATCCAGGATAAATTGTGAGACACTAAATGGCAAAAAATAGTTTGAAGAGACAAAACAAACTTCAAAGTCAGACTCAGATACAGCAGCAATAATGTAAGTATGCTCAGACTGGAAATTTAAGTCATCTGTAATTGATGTGCTAAGGGTCCTAATGGATAAAGTAGGACGCAAACAAGACTTGCCACTGGGCATTATAAGCAGAGATGAAAATCCTCATAAAGAACAAGAGAACGGAGCTGGAGAAATATCTTCATGGGCTGATCCCAAGTTCCCCCCAAGCACAGGAGTGATTCCTCAGCACAGAGGCAGAAGTAGTCTCTAAGCACTTATGGGGGTGGAACAAAATAACAACCACCAAAGAACCAAAAGTTCTGGAGTGAAGCACTGCAACAGAACTGAAGACCTCTCCAGGGGATTTGATTGAGAAAACTGGCTGGACTGAGCAGAGTCTCCCAACTTAAGGATATCCCAGTAGAGACTTCCAAGGCTGAAAACTAAAAAGAAAAAGAGCAGACAGCTACAAAAGGTGAAACACATACTATAGAAGCAGTTGAAGAAGAAAAACAAAAGGACACCTTTGACCATATCTGGAGATGGATTTTGGTTATTATAGCAAAGTTCTGCTCGAGGCCAGGAACATTGCTGACCATCATACAACACACCACACACACAAACACATATATACACAAGCACACACATAAACATACACAAGAACACACATAAGCCCTTACACATATACAAGCATACACATAAGCACATGACCTATAAAGCTCACACTCACAAATAGACACACCAGAAACACACATACACACACTCTCACAAACATGCACACACATATGCACATACAAGATACACATGAAGACATAGACACGTAGCATCTATGAAACACACCCTCAGATACACAGACACATACTGGGCACACACATACACACACCACAAATAAAAGTTTTGCCCAAGGAGTCAATTGTGTGACATGGAGAACCCCTGTAGTACATTCCAAGCGTTCTCTACTATGCACTCACTTTTGTCTTTAGAAAAGCTTATTTTGTAGGGTTTTAGGCATACCAGTGATGCTCAGGGGTTACTCCTGGTTCTACACTCAGAAATCACTCTTGACAAGCTCAGGGGACCATAAGGGATGCTTGGGTTTAAACCTCAGGTTGGCCACATCAAGGCAAGTGCTCCACCTGCTGCACTTTTTCTCAGACCCAGTGTTTCTGGTTTTTAATTCATTTATTATTTTTTTAATGTAGACAAAAGCCACAACTGTTGATACAATACTAGAGTTGAAATTGATTGAATAACAAAGCTCAAATAGTAAAATCAATAATTTTGAAAATCAATTTTAGTGTGAAAATTATTATATCTCACCACAGGATTGTTAAGTCCTAGTCTAAGAATTTACTAAGCTGTTGTTTCTAGTTGAGCCTTCTGTATTATTGGTTTTATTTGTTGAGTTCAGTTGATGTCTATGTTACTTTCCCATTGAGTTTGGTGTACTCCTACTGGAATTTCAGTGTAGAGGAATTTGGAGGTATCACGTGGCTTCATATGTGGTCACATGGTCCAGAGACTTCAGGATCTTTGGTCTGGGCCAATAAGTAAACATGTTGGCTACTGTTGGAGGTGAGCATGGCTGCCAGGGCTTCTGAAAGCAGAGGGAGGTTGCCAACCCCAATTGCAAGAAGACCCCAGGGTTCTCAACCTAGACACAGAGATCCCTGAAATTTTTCACAGTTTGGTATCTACAGACAGTTTCATGAAATGGTGAAGTTGAGCCCTAGGCATGACTGCAGCAGTGGCTTGTGGGTGTAGCTGCTGGGCTTCATCAAGGATGGGACTCTCCCTGGCCCCCTCCTGAGGGCGTTCTAGAGTTTTCAGCCAGGATAACCAGTGTGTCCTTGAATTTTAGTTGTTTTGCATCTCCTCAGAGACTTAGTTGTGAGTCAGTTGAGCCGGGCTAGTGGGAGTCACTCAACATGGCAACTGCTGTGGGAAGTGGACCAAAGGAACTGTTACTACTACTATTACTACTACTACTACTACTACTACTACTACTACTATTCAGCTATGAGAAAAGATGAACCCTTGCAGTTTGCTGCTACATGAATGGAATTGGAGGGAAGATTGCAGGAAAAAATGACTGAAAAGGAAGAGAATGAATACAGAATGACCTTTATATGTGGAGTTAAGAAATATAGTAAAGGAATTAATAAAACAGTGAATAGTAACAGAACTGGGGATAGGGCGGGGGGGCGGTCAGTCTACAGAATTGGGATTGCTAAAGGAGTGGGAGATGAGAGGGGACCTAGAGGCAGTGGTGGAGGCTCACTGACAATCTGCTGGTGGATGTGGTGTAGCAATACTTTCTGTTGACACCAACTATTAAAGGTACTGTAAACCTTGGTGCCGAAATAGAAAGTGAAGCAATTTGAAAAATAAAAATGTACTGACAAAGACTTCAGGCCACAGTATTGTCCATTGGAGACTGTACAGTGGAGCCTTCACAATCTCTAGTCACCCTTACCCTCATTGTTACTTCCATATTTTAAAAAACCCTGCAAGGCTGGGTAGCTAGTACAGAGGGCAGGCTACTTGCTTGCATGCAGCTGATCTGCATTAAGTCCCCAACACAGGGTATGGTTCTCCTCACACACACTAAGTACCTCCTGAGTGCATCAGGAGGTGAGCCCTTAACCCAGCTGAGTGTGGCCCAACCTCTGCCTCATGTTTAAAAAGAACTCTACCAATGATATTTGGTAGAGTGCTTTTTAAATCACTCTCCACCATATTTCTACATGTGGTGTATACTCATTTTGTGTTCCTCAGTTGTGCATACTCACCACTATTCCTCTGAGAATGTAATAGTTTTCAAAAAAAAAAACTAGAATATGAGTAAGCTATTATATAAATTGTTGGGCACAAAACCCTGACATCTCTTTCTAAACTTCTCCCTAGCCTGTGCTGGTGGACCTCTTTTCTACCTTATGTTGTGTTGATGACAGTAAAGTCTGTCTTATCGGTTTTTCCTCTACTTTTTTAGAGGAAAACGTGGATGGGAAACCAGTGATTGTTTGGCTAGGTATAGAAATCTTAATTAATTTTTTTCAGGGTTGAGGAGAGAGCTAAAAGACTGGAACACAGACATGATCTCTATAGTACATGGTCTTATTAATATAGCCACAACTGACCCCAGCACTGAACCACATGTAGCCCCTAACCACCTCTGGGTGTTGCCTAAAAACAATTTAAACTTTTTCTTTTGAGGCCAGGGGAGCTAGTCTAAGTAGAAGAGTAGATATGTAACCTGTGCAATGCCTTGAGCCAATCCCAGGCACTGTATGCAATATCCTCACCACCCCTTCCAGCACCATCACTGCCAGGTTCGGGCCTCCTGGACCATAAGCAACATGTATGGTGTCTATTTTAAAAATCATCTTGATTTTTCAAAAGCTCCCAGAAAGCATGTTCTGATTTCCAATGCACCTTTTCAGAAATTTGATTGTATCCACGGGCCAGAGATATAACCCAGTGATAGAGCAATTAATTGCCTTGCACGTGTGAGGCTCTGGCTTGAAAAAAAATGAAGGAAGGAAGGAAGGAAGGAAGGAAGAAAGGAAGGAAGGAAGGAAGGAAGAAAAGAAAGAAGGAAGGTGTCCAATGGCATTCAGATTTTACCCCAGTCCTTAGATTTACCATCAAGGATCTCATGTTTCTTCTATTGAAAATGACATTGAAATCCACATCTAGGCACTATACTATTTAATGCAGAGCTGCTAGCATATTTATAGAACATCAAGGGGGTTGAGGTAAGGACATAGGTGTGATTGATCATTTACATATGGAAATTTACATCGATAATTTACATAGATAGAGCATAGGAAATTCTCTTTGGGGAGATTAAAGTGAGGAGATACTCAGTCTCCTGGGGGCATCTATATTGCTTTAT